TCCAGAACAATTCACTTGAGTCATTCCTCCGCCGGTCCAATGCAAATGTAACTGTATGAGCCTATTACTGTAACAGCCCGAATTTCGATGTAATTCCGGGATCAATAAAATTGATATTATTTTGCATTTCATTTTAGTAAGTCTCGCCCAGAGCTGATCACTCTCGGGATACTAACCAATGGGGTATGGCTAACTAGGAAACGGTACGTGGACCAGGGATCCGATCGCGAATCGGACATCGATCACGAGAAATGATGAGAGAATATTTTGGACTGATGTGGGCCAATCTTAGGAAAGGTAATGGATTTGGTTTGGCCAAGGCTAACGTTGTACAATCGGATCGCAGGTGATTTTGCACGACCGAAAAGTGCATGTGGCCAACCAGTCCTGAACTTAAACTAAACGATCGTGACCTCTGGGACTAGTGATAATTTCTCGTTCTCTTAATGATCGGGACCGTCGTGACTCGGATAACACTAGGTCGATACGCGTATGCTCTAAACAGCCGCCCGTTAGTGAGAAACCCTGAAATTGGAAATCGAGCGAGTTTTGATCACGAAATTGGGCCCGGATTTCGATGTCGATTTTCGATGACTTAAGAGACTATTTTTGGGAATCTGACGTCATATTAGGCTGGCCACGCATATTTTGAGTTAGTACGGTTGAAAATTGGAATTTCGGTCCGAGGGTGAAAAATTACGATTTTGCCCCTCGGGACACCGACGTTGATTCTGAGGCCGTCTGAGGTTATTTTTCGCGGCCGATGTCATTTTAGGGTGGCCATGCGCATTTAGAGTTGTTTCGGTCAAAAATTGGAATTTTGGCTCGGAAGTGAAAAATAATATTATTTTATTTCCAGGACTTTGCAGTCGATTTTCGAGGGCTTAAGAGGCTATTTTCGCGATTCCGACACCATATTATGTTGGCCACACCGATTTGGAGTTGATATAGCCAAAAATTGGAATTTCGCCCCGGGACCGGAAAAATGACCGTTTTGCCCCTGGGCCGTTTTCAGTTCCGAATTTTTTGGAAAATTATTTGCGATAATTACTAAGGGTCTTCAGCTGCATTATTGGACCTAATTACACTTTTTCCCTCAATTTTTGGATAGGAACGAATGAGGACCGTTAGATTAGGGGTATTTTGGTCAAATGGCCCGGATCGGCGACACGTGGCGGCCTTAGCCCCCAATATTTGACCAGATGGACCCTCCCTCTCTCTCTCCTCCCCCTCATTCGGCCAAGTCCCCACAGATCAGCCCCCTCCTCCACGTTTCCTCCTTCTTCGCCGGCTTCTCCCCCTCGGCCGCTCAGAGTTCGCCGTCGCCGGAGCACCGCCGGCCACCGTCGCAACTGCTGCCTCGTCTAGCCACCACCCACCAGCATCACCGCCCACCCCGTCTCTCTCTTTCTCTCTCTTTCTTTCCCGCTCGACGCAAGGAACCGCCGTGTACCGCCGCTTGGAGACCGACCGCCGCCGCGCCGGAGCCCGATCTGCCGGGCTGCTGCCGCCATGACCCACCAGCCGTCCGTACGTCACCGTATGTCGCGCGTACGTCACTGTCCGTACAGTGTCCGTACTGTTGCATACAGTGTCCGTACGGTGTCCGTACGCTAGCGTCCGTATGCCGTCCACCGGGAACGCCGCCGCCGGTTCCACTGTTTATCGGTGATCGGCCGCCGTTCCTTGTTGTCGTGGTCTAGAATTAAGTGAGTATACCTCCTAAACCCAGATTAGGACTGATAGTGCGTTTTTCTGGACTGACTTAGGTATTATCGGTGTATTTTGGACTGGCTTAGGTAGTATCAGTGTATAATTCGGACTGGATTGAGGATTGTTTGGTGGAAATAAAATCCGAGGAATTTAGTGGGATTATTATAAATAATTATTGGGCTCGGATTAATGGAATAGTGGCTGTCCGTATTTTGGGGAAATGTACCGGATTATAACGGGCAGTAAGAATTGCTAGCTGAATGGACATGATTACCCGGAGTGATTGGCTGTTGATTGATTGGTGATTAATTGTGCTTAATTGTGAAATGCCATGTTGTGTGCTCGTGTGACTGAATTGTACAGTATGTGATTGGCCAATTGTAGCTTGAGTCGAATGCTGAATTGAGATTTGTGTACTGGGCAGCACAGTATTAGATGGGCCAATTGAGCACGTGTTTGTGGCATTGAATTGATTGGGTGCTTGAGTTATTGTTTGATGCTCATGGTGCATGGTGTGGCATTACATGGACACGCATTGCGTATGCCGAGTATGAGGCATGAATTGAAATTGTGCGAGAATGCGTGTCTGCCATGAGCATGTGATCACCTAATATACCCTGATACGTTTTACGCGGGGTTCAGATAATAACTGGCAGTGTGTGTATGTGTGATCACAATTCGCCCTGATGCGTGTTACGCGGGGTGTGCCGTCCTCATGCACTTTAAAGCAGGACGATGCCCGGTACGTCCGGAAGACGACCATCCTGATACGTTTTACGCGGGCTCTGGTTCGTGAGGAGATCAGTGTTGCGCCTCATACACTTTGTAGCAGGCAAGAGACACTGGGCCAGATCGGTGTTACGCCTCATGCACTTTGTAGCAGGCTAGACGCACCGGGCCGTGAATTGTGTGGACTCGAGTCATATTAAATATTAAAGAATTGAGCCAGTGTGCAGTGTGAACTAAAATGAGAACATGGCATGACATTAACATTGCATGCATGGAATGCATAACCCGGTGCGCGAGTGAACACTATTGAGCATTCGCACATGTGCCTTGAGAATTTTAATGAACTGCCTAACCTGCAGGATGAATCGTATGTTTGATCTAGGCCCGAGGGCCGAGGTCATTGTTTGTATATTGTGTTGTTTACTTGTCAGGAGAATGCATGTTAGCCTAGCCTAGGTTTAGGGGTTGTACTCGCTGAGATTCGTCTCACGGTTGTAATAACCCAACTTTTCAGACCCCCAGCCGTAGAATGCCGAGGTCACCACCTCTTTTTGGGATACCGCATCACATTCAGCGGTCGTCGAGCGTGCACCCCTATGGAGACGGAGTAGCTTATATGAGATATTACTCTGTACTGTTTGTGAATGTGGGAGAGTCGTACTACCATACCCAAGAATATGTGGCTTGGTGCTACAGAGGAATCGACGGAGTAACTGGACCTCCGCTCAGAACCTTTGATATCCCGGTGGACGTGACTGATGTCATGGTCCTGTAGATGGTAAGTGATGAGATTTCAAATCCTCCAACCCCACCTGATTGGAGTAGCCAGGGCGAGACCGTGGACGGACCTGCTACCATGGTCGAGGAGGTTGAAGAGCCCAAAGTGCTGTATGCTGATCCGGAACCCTTAGACCATCAAGACGAGATCGAGCCGGAGCCGATGGAATTAGACCCGGAGCAGGACGGAGAAGTGGCGGAGATAGGATCGGATGAGGAAATAGGAGCCGAGGAAGAGAGAGTAGCAGCGGCAGATATGGAGTCAGAGGAGCAGTCAGATGAATCCTCGGAATCCTCAGATCCTGACTGGAATCCCTAGAAGCACCCTGAGCCATAGCTAGCAGTGGAGGGCAAGTGACTTTTTGACTGTAGTCCTCCTTGAGTAGTTGACCTCCCGAGCCACTTCCCTTTTTGACTTAGTGGCTGTTTGACTATCCCCAGTTGTTGGTGTTTTCTCTATGGTTGTAGCTAACACTGTAAAAAGAGTTTTCAATAGTAATATAAGTATGTACATATTTTCTGCTGTGATCGTGTTTATTGCTGGGCTATTCTTGGCTCGTATTTTATAATTGTCGGGGTTGTTTTTTTAATTACTTCCGCTCGTGTTTGATTTTTGCTTGGGCGTTGGGTCGGCGACGCTTCTTGGGAGCGTGGCACCATAATCGACCAAGGTAGGGATGTTGCGTGCCGTGGGGTTCGGGGCGTGACAATTACTATGAGTGCAAATGCCCTATATGCAATTTAATTAATATTTTTGTTTAAGGGCCGGGATTGATCCCGAATTTTTTATGTAATAAATAACTAAATGGGTCTCCAAATTTTAGGTCAACACACGTAGGTGGTTTAGATTGTATTTTGGTTTACATACCTCATTTCTATGTCCTGAAAATAGAAAATAAGAAATGTATAATCCCTTTCATATCAATAGTCTTAAATTGTATCTTCATAGAAAATCACATGAAAATAACTTTAAGATTGCATTTGCATTAAAGGTAAAGTTGTATATCTGCATCATTTTCAGCGGATTTACTTTCCTCTTGTGCACGATTTGAGAGTCACTAAAATGCAAAATTACATTGCATTACCCATAGGATTTTGTGGTTATATTTTATTTTAATGTTTCGAAGCTCATTTGAAGAAAGTAATTTATTTAGGGCTTGTCTTTGTATAGCATGTTAAATCTGCATATAACTATTAGGATTTGCCTCAGTGGCCACCCTTTTTATTTGGAAAGGGGGAGGTGCTCGAGGGGATTAGGGGTGGAAGGGATTAGAGGTGGGGATGTGTAGTTTCACATGTGAGTTTTGACTCTAGCGCTCTGTAAAGAGTAGCAGGCCTAATTCAAATCTTACAAGGAAATGCATATGCAAGTTAGGAAATAGATCTCACTAAGGACCCTTTCATGCAAGTTAGGAAATACATCTCACTAAGGACCCTTTCCTTTATTAAGCCCATTTGAGTTGAGTAATTTAATTAGAGCGCATCTCTGTATATAGCATGTTAAATCTGCATATATATATTTTTCCTTTAATGGATTGGTCTATTTTAGAAAATTTGCAAGAATAGTGCTGTGTCCTTGAGGATTATCACAGGACAAGGTCTTACCCAGTTCTTTACATGGAAAAAAATATGCAGTTTATAAACTAAATGTGTCCAATGAACCTGCCTTTTTTTTTTTTTTTTGGTCATAAATGAACCTGACCTTCAAAAGTGAAAAAAGTTACCGATGTTGGCTTCTGGAGGGTCACGAGACCAACGCCATTTCTTCATTTCGCTTCTCCTGCGCACACAAACGCGCATATATATATGCGCTCCCAGTTCAACTATCTGACACACAATTCAGAAGCAGGAGGCATTTCTCTGTCTCTTCTGCAAAATCGAGATATGGAATACCAGAAATGGAGATTGTCTCCGACCACCTTGACGATTTTCATTCTTGGTCTCGTTTGCATTCTAAGCATTTCCCCTGTTAATACTGCCGCTGCAGCAGCTGATGCAGGCAGCTCCTTGTCAACTTATATCGTCCACGTCCGAACGCCAACGGACAAACATTACGCCACTTCGGAGGATCTCGATGCTTTGTATCGGCCGTTTTTACCTGCCACAGCGACTAGCTCTAACCAAGAGGAAAGAATGGTTCACTCGTACCGACACGTGATATCTGGGTTCGCGGCCAAATTGACCGCCGAGGAAGCTCAAGCCATTCGGGAGAAGGACGGTGTTTTGCACGTGCAAAAGGAGGAGGTGCTCCCTCTACACACGACTCACACCCCCGACTTCTTGGGATTGCGCCAAGGAGTGGGCCTGTGGAAGGACTCAAACTTCGGTAAGGGCGTGATCATCGGAGTATTGGACACGGGGATTTTCCCCAATCACTCTTCCTTCAGCGACGAGGGGATGCCTCCGCCCCCGGCCAAATGGAAGGGCAGGTGCGACTTCAACAGCACATCCTGCAACAACAAGCTCATCGGTGCGAGGTCTTTTCTTTTCGAGGAGGACTCTCTGCCCTTTGATAAAGAGGGCCACGGCACACACACTGCCAGCACGGCTGCCGGTGCTTTTGTGAGGAATGCCAGCGCATTGGGTAATGCCAGAGGCACGGCCGTAGGCATGGCGCCTCTTGCGCATTTGGCAATCTACCAGGTTTGCGACTTTCTCGGGTGCCTTGAGAGCGCCATATTAGCTGGGTTCGACGCCGCCATCGAGGATGGTGTTGATGTGCTTTCCCTCTCTTTAGGAGCAGATTCCCAGCCGTTCTTCACGGACCCGATTGCGAAGGGTGCATTTGCTGCCACCCAAAAGGGCATCTTCGTCAGCTGCTCCGCAGGAAATAAGGGGCCAGATATCAAGACATTGTCAAACGAGGCACCGTGGATTCTCAGCGTGGGAGCGAGCACCATCGACCGCAGCATAAAGGCCACAGCGCGGCTGGGGAATGGGCTGGAGTTCGATGGGGAGACCTTGTACCAACCGCAAGACTTCCAACCGGCGCTACTTCCCCTTGTTTATCCGGGAGCAAATGGAGATCAATCCTTGGCCCTCTGCCTTCCCGGAGCGCTTAGAATGCGCTCGGACATCAAAGGAAAAGTGGTTGTGTGCGACTATGGCGGCAATAGAGTCGCGACAGGTCAATCGGTCCAGGATGCAGGTGGTGCTGCCATGATCCTCGTGAACAGTCCCATTGAGGGATACACCACATTAGCCGATGCGCATGTCCTACCCGCAGTCCATGTGAGATATGTCGCTGGGAAAGAGATCAAGAGATACCTAAGCACAGCGTCAGCGCCGAAGGCGACGATCCTATTCAAAGGCACTCACATCGGAAGATCGGTCGCCCCGGCTGTAGCATACTTCTCTTCCCGCGGCCCCAACATCCAAAGCCCAGGGATCCTCAAACCGGACATCATCGGCCCAGGTGTGAACATTCTCGCCGGTTGGCCATCTAGTTTAGACAATTCTACGGACAGCAAGCACGCATTCAACGTGATCTCAGGGACCTCCATGTCCTGCCCCCACCTCAGTGGTGTGGCGGCCCTGCTCAAGAGCGCGCACCCTGACTGGTCGCCAGCGGCCATCAAGTCCGCCATCATGACCACTGCCACCACCTCCAGCATGGTGGGCCGACCCATTGTGGACCAGGCGCTCCATCCGGCGGACATATTTGCCACAGGCGCAGGACATATCAACCCATCGAAGGCCGTCGACCCAGGTCTCATTTACGACATCAGACCGCAAGATTACGTTCCTTACCTTTGTGGGCTCAACTACACCGACTCCCAAATCGAGCTCATAGTTAAAAAACGAGTCAAATGCTCGAGCATAAAGAGCATACCCGATTACCAGCTCAACTATCCATCGATCAGCGTGAGGTTCAACGATTTGGTGACGAAGGTGAGTGTGACGAGGACGGTGAGGAACGTCGGACGTGCTAAGTCGTCTTACAGGATGGTCATCGACCCCATCATAGGTCTCGACTCGATCGTCGTGTACCCGAGTGATCTGGAGTTCACGGGGGCGAACCAGACAACGAGTTTTAGGGTTGACTTCACAAGGAATGCGACGGCGACCACGCCCTTTTCTCAAGGGGCTATCACTTGGGTATCTGCTCAGCATTCAGTTCGAACCCCTGTCGCTGTTTTGTTTGAGTGATCACGCGGTGAGTGATCATAATATTGGCTTTTCTCGCTTTGTTTGCGTCCTGAATAATTGGCAGCTTAGTCAATCTTAAAAAAATGGAGAAAGTGAATATTCATCAAAGTTTTTATAGTACCGCATTGTAACGTCTAGATTCAATTCATAGTGGACTGAACGGACCGAATCGTTGAACCTAGAGGGCATTGACACATTTCGCACTTGAATTTGCCTTTGAGAACATCCTCATTTTTCGCGAGGGTTAACCTCGATTTTCTCTCCGTAAGGAAAATTCGATTAAACTTAAATTTATGGACATTGCCGCAGAGGGGTGCAAAATTTTGGATTCTTATCCTCGTCGTATAAAAAATTTAGCATGATTCTTCTTATGTAGAGTTGATCAATTTCCAACACGACAACCTAATTAAAGAGTACTCGGTACAAGATTTAATGCATATGTATCAGAAACGGATCAACTCATCTGCGCATGAATTAATTATAAATGGGCCATGTGCACTTTATTTTTTAAACACATGTATGACACATTTAGACATGTTTAAGTAAACAAGTTGATGTCAACACAATTTGATGAGTTTAGAACTGATTTGATGCAACTGTAGTTAGAGTGTAGTGTATTTGTTGTTCTGCAACTGCATTAAGAAGTTATGTAACTTATATGTTTGGTAATTGATAAGGTCTAAAGTTGGGTATAGGTGAGGCAACTTCTCAACTACAACTTCCGAGGTATTTGCACAAGATGTTATAAAAGCCGCAGCACCCATTTTCACAATATAAGTTATTACGGGAAAGTTGTATCAAATATATATGTTTAATTCCTTTCTACATATCTATACATGAGAGGTCTTTTTGTAAAATGCCTCGTCGTACAATGAGCAGTTCGTGTTTAAGTTCCAATGTTATGATGATTAATGAATGAGACCGGTTCAATCAACAAGAGGAAATTGAGAAGAGGATAAGGTTTGTATAAATAAGAACTCCTTTTTTCATATATACTAGTTCTAAGCTCATGCTACATATGAACGCATTTGCCTTTATCTAGCTTCTAAAGAAATCTTAAATCATATTAACTAACGACTAACTCCTTGGGTAAAGGGTTAATACCACGAAAAACCATAAACTGGTACACTTATGACACATTTACCCCAAACTATTTTTTTGACCATCAAAAACCCCAAACTGGTACACCTGTGACAATTTTACCCCGAACATACCACAAAAAACCCCAAACTGGTACACATGTGACAATTTTACTCCGAACTAATTTTTAATATTATTTTTTTTATTTTTTTCTTTTTTTCTTTTTTCTTTTCTTTTCTTTTCTTTTTTTTTCCTTCACCTTCAACCTCTGGCCGGTCGCCAGTCCGGCGACCGACCAGAGGCGGAAGCCGGCGAGGGCGACCCTCGCCGGTATCGGCGAGGCGACCTCGCTGCGTCGAGCGAGGCGGCCCTCGCTGCGTCGGCGGCCCTCGCTGCGTCGGGCGGCCCTCGCTGCGTCGGGCGAGGCCGTCCTCGCTCGCCCGGGCAAAGGCGACCCTCGCCCGACTCGGGCGGCGGCCCTCGCCCGACGCAGCGAGGGCGGCCCTCGCTAGATCCGGCGCCCGACCCGGATCCGGCCCTCGCTGCGTCGGGCGAGGGCCGCCTCGCTGCGTCGGGCGGCGAGGCCGCCCTCGCTGAGTCGGGCGAGGCCGCCTTGCCTGGGCGGGCGAGGGCGGCCCTCGCCGACGCAGGCGAGGGTCGCCCTCGCCGGTTTCCGCCTCTAGCCGATCGCCGGACCGGCGATCGGCCAGAGTTTGAAGATGAAAAAAAAAGAAAAGAAAAGAATAAAAAATAAATAAAAATTCAAAAAAAAATATTAAATTTTTAATTCAGGGTAAAATTGTCACATATGTATCAGTTTGGAGTTTTTTGTGGTAAGTTCAGGGTAAAATTGTCACAGATGTACCAGTTTGGGGTTTTTAGTGGTCAAAAAAATAATTCAGGGTAAAATTGTCACAGGTGTACCAGTTTGGGGTTTTTTATGATCAAAAAAATAGTTTGAGGTAAATGTGTCACAAGTGTACCAGTTTAGGGTTTGTCGTGGTATTAACCCTTGGGTAAATGGTAAAACAATTGGGATGCACGTTAAGAAGCGTGAAGTCTCAAATGCAATTTTTACTATGCGATCAATTGGAGTTAGACAACAAAAAGAAAAGGTAACATCTTGCAAATCTCTGTTCTCATGGGAGGTTGCCTACCTTTCTTCGATTTGGGATAGCAAAGACTATGGACTCAACGTGTTGTTGAACCTTCGGTGGTAAAGTTTGAAACTGGAAGTGATGTTGAGTTAGCTTCATTATATAAAAGATATATAATGTCGGTGAATTTTCATTCGAAGAGAAAGAATCCAAATTTGTGCTAACTATTTCCTCAAAATTTTGGTTTGATAATGAATCTAGGGGAATAAACTAAGGTGGGCAAAACCGTTCTTTTCTCCCTTTTAAACTTGACATTGGAAAATAAGCTCACAAATAAAAGGAGGGGAAATTCTCAAAATGTTTCTCTACCACCTTTCTACAAGGCTACGAATCAGTCTCACGAATTCTCTTTAATTAACATTTTCAATTAGGGTAACGCTAGTTTCACCCCTGTATGGGCTCCATCTACACCCTCACTTAGTAGAACGACGAAAGTACCCATGCATCGATATGTTCTTCTTCTTCTTTTAGTTCTCCAGCTTATCTCATGTTCATCATTTTCTCTTGATTTATAAAATTGTATCTGCAAGTTTTGGCTTCGGACATATGCTTTCTACCATTTCTTCTATTCTAAACAGAATTTGAACTTATGATGGCCAAGAGTACGCGAATCATTTTACCTCACACTTGAACTCTTTTAAGGAGATTTTTTATATGTAGAAGTTTATTGATTTTTTTTGGGATAAATGCATTTAAAGTCCTAAAACTTGTCACGAAAGTGCAATTGAGTCCTAAAACCTTCATAATGTGCAATTAAGTCCTAAAACTTGCTAGGAAAGTGCATTTGAGTCCTAAAACTTATCACAAAAGTACAAACAAGTCCTAAAACTTATCACAAAAGTGCAAACAAGTCCTAAAACTTGTCAAATTGATTCAATCAAGTCCTTCCATTGATTATACTTTTTGAAAGTTTAGGATTTGATTGCACATTTGTGATAAGTTTAGGACTTGATTGCATCTTCGTGATAAGTTTTAGGACTTGATTGCACTTTCGTGATAAGTTTTAGGACTTGATCGCATTTTTTGAAATTTTTAGGACTCAATTGCACTTTCTTGACAAGTTTTAGGACTTCTAGTGCACTTCTCCCATTTTGTTTTTCACCCAATCTTCTTCGTCTATCTTAGACCCATGAGGAAAATTTATAGTCGTCTTCGAGAACTATCTTTTGGAAACCCAGATTATCTGCAAGTCCGCTTCCACACAAGGCAAATTCCGTCCACCACAATACCAACGGCTATGGAACCCTCATCACCATTGAGATCCTCGTGGCAATCATCTTCACTTCGCCAGCGAGTTGCTTCCACCATCATCCATCACCAACATTCAAGTTCTATAACAACTTCGTCCCCTTCGCAAATGCGCAGCGGCCCTGCACCATCACACATGCGAATCTAGAGCCGCCGCTTGGCTAGGTGGATCACCTTTACCAACATCATGCCTTCTGGACCAGGCCACGAATCGCTAGTTACCGTTGTCGGGTATTCCATCAATTTCGGTTAGTAAATTGCAATTGATAACTGATCTCTCGCTCTCCTCCATTAGTCCTTCTCTCTACTTGCACCGCCCTATTCTTGGTAACGCGGGTTGCCACCAAGACCTCACAGTCTCAATTCTAAGTTGATCTGAGGTTGGCCACCTCAAACAGCCTCAACCCGAGTGATCACGACGGTGGACACTTAGAGCTTGAAGTAGCAAGAGGTGGCGATCAAGGGCAGAGGCATTCACAAGCAATGGGGAGACTCAGAGATAGATACAAACCAGGTTTGAGAGCGAAGATATAACAAGGAAGTAGGCAGGGAACGAGTGTCCTATGACAGTGGCGATGTGCAAAGGCTAGCAATGGCGACGTTGTACTGCGAGAAGTGAGTGTGAGCATTGAACGACAAAGAAAAGGCCGTAGGACTCGTAAAAACTGTGGATTTGACTAGGGACGGAAAATAGTCCGGTCATTCTGAAGGAATTGATATTAAGGTTGCAAGATAGAGAGAACTTGGCTAATTTTCTTTGTAAACTTGAGGCAACAACTCATTTTCCTGTAAGTGTGCAATATTATTGTCTAAAAGGTAGTTTGTGAAACATCTATTTTCAGTTGCTAAACATCTTATTTTGTATATGAAATCTTTTAGTTTTTGGTCTTGTTGGGTCGTGATTCACGACTTTAGTTTCTTCTGATGAAGCAAACCCAAAAATTTTAGAACAGATTGAATAATAAAAGGTCAATAAAGCGACAACTATTGAAGAAATTGCAGCGTAGCAATCTTCCAGATTGACGTTGTCTCTTTCATCTGCTAATTATAAGATTATTATCCTCAATGCTCGTATTAAAGAGTGATTATATTGCAGCAAGCAGTTAGTCGTTCGGCGAGATTTGCCCAACATGTCCAGTTGAAGTATAAAAGAAGATCATTAGATGTATGCTTTTCCTTAGATTAGGTAAACCGCGTCATAGATAAATCTTATTTTAGTGACAATAATTACACCTAACTCCAGTGATTTCTCAATTTTATTAAACAAAGTTTCAACGAATGTTGTGCGCCATTTAAGTCACGATACCACTTTGTTGTCCTCGCATTAACAATGAGTTATTATACATTGTGAAAATGAGTTCGTACTTTCTCATAGATGTGCTTGCCTCCTTTTCCATTATACATTGGATAACGTTAGGCTAAAAGTTTAAGATTGATATTCTATTATATCACTAATTATGAATCACTCTAGTTCATAATTTTGATGGACATACAAGTGCTTCGGTACATTATACATGTAACTCAATGTATCCAACACATTTTACTTTTGAATGTACTTAACACGGTATATATTCATAGCTGGAAGCGACACATCTGCGCTAACTACGGAATAGGCATTGGCGG